TTTTACCCACCTCGGAAGGATGGAAGGCTGAGTCAACCCTGAGCCGGTGAGATTTGAACAGCCAAACTGCAGAACTAGCAGTCAGCTGAAGTGGCTGCAGTACTGCACCCTAACCACTGCGCCACCTCGGCTCATGAATTTAGAAATTGATTTAAAATCTTTAAAAAAACTTTTTTTAATTTAATGGGAATGTTCTGAAACAGAAAAAGAAATTTTGATAGTACATTTATCTTTGTGACTGTGATCCTACCCATCAGGGACAATTGTAGGTTTTTCCACCTTTCTAAGTCTTATTTAGTTTTATTGATCAAATTAATATAGTTGTGTTCTTTGATGGACACACACCTCGCTGATAAATGTATACTTAGATATTTCATTGTTTTGACAATTTGAATACCCAATTTCTTCATTAACTCCTCTTTCAATTTGGATGTCAATATTTTTAACTAACATTTTAGTCTTTGTCATATTTACCTTTAAACCCGCTACTTTCCCATACTCTGTCAATTCCTCAATAAGTTTCATACCAGACTTTAAAGGTTCCTCTAACACAAAAATGAAATTGTCTCGAAAGCCTGTAACTTAAATTGTTCCTTTTTAATTTATAGTCCCTTTATCTGTTCCTCTTTATGCACATTCCTAACTAGAACTTCTAGAGTTAATATGAACAGCAGCGGGGATAGAGGGCAACCTTGTCTTGTATCTTTCTGTATTGCTATACTTTGCATTAATTCACCATTAATTATTACTTTGCCTTTTTTATTTGTATATATTGCTCTGATCGTGTTTATAAACTTATCCCCAAATTCCATGTGTTCCAATTGTTGATGTAAAAATTCCCAGTTCACATTGTCAAATGCCTTTTAGGCATTGAGAAAAAGTAATGCAACCCGTTTTTCATTATGCACGTCATAATGTTCGAGAATGTCCAGCATAGTTTTCATACTGTTTTTAATTTGTCTTCTGGGAAGGAATCCATTTTGATCTGTGTGGATAAACAACGTGAGGAATTTTTTTCAATCGTTCTGCAATTATCAGAGCAAAAATCTTACGATCTGCATTTAGCAATGAAATTAGTCTGTAGTTTGATCTGAGTCCTCCTTAGGTAATAAGACAATGTTAGCCTCCATCCATGATAGCGATGTCTTTGCCTCTTTCAACACAGCATTATAAATCTCCCATCAGCGTTGGAACAAGCATATCCTGGAATTCTTTATATATTTCCACTGGCAATCTATCTGGCCCTGCTGCTTTATTATTATTTTGTCTTTGTATGGCCTCAATTATCTCTGATACTTTTATTTCCTCATAGAGCATATCTTTTACTTCCTCTGCTATTTTTGGCAAATCTGACTTTTCCAGATACTGTAGTATTCCTTCCTTTGTATAGTCTCGGTTTTCATCGTCACCTGCTTTGGAATATGGGGCAGTCCTCAATGTATGATTGCTGACATTTCTGTGGCAGAGGGAGACATTAAAATAAATTTGACAAACGTTCCTGCCCTTGTCGTTAAGTGAATCCCAGCTGTTGTTCAATGAGTAACATAGTTGTTAAGCGAATCTGACTTTCCCTTTGACTGGAGCCCCAATTTCTCTGGCTCGCTGAGACATTTGTTAAAAAAACCTGCCTGTTTTACAACCTGTCTGGCTGTACGGTCATGAAATCGCTGCAGTGTTAAGTTAGTCAGACAGTCGTTAAGTGAATCTGGCTTCCCCATTGACCTGTTCGGCTTAAGGTCGGGAAAGGAAATCGCATAACCCTGTCATAAATACAAGTCAGTTGCCCAGCGTGTGCATTTTGATCTCACGATCGTAAAAGTCGTAAATCTAAAAAACAGTCCTAAGTCCCTTGCTTCAGGGCCGTTGCAACTTCGAACATTTAGAAAAAGATTGTAAGTCGAGGGCAACTTAGAAGGCGGACGTCATCCCGCAAATGATCAGAAAAGATTTTAGCGGGGCCAAAAAACCTGGGTCGGTTATTGGTTGACACAGAACGTGGCCAACGGCAGACCCCAAACCTGCAGTCGAATCACCCTTCCATACGATGGATTTGATTGTCTTCTATCCCATTCCCTTTTTTTCCAGGTGCTTTGTTGAAAGGATTGGCCGGCTTCAGCCTCTGCGCCCCGCGTCCCTCACCCAACAAACTGGGTGCTTCGCTCCAGGTGCCGCCTCTGTGCCTCGAAAACCCTCCCATATTGCACGCCAATCATGTGCCTCCTCATCCCGCAACAGCCAGCAGCAGCTCCGCATTGGTAAGTGAGCCGGAAGGGGGCATGTGGAAATGGAGAGTGCAGATCCCTCTCTTCCAGCACTGATGACATTCCCTAGTGGGTCATGAAACATCTGAAAGGAAACCCTTGGAGGGAGGTCCAAGAACCCCATGGTTGTCGTTCTCCTCTCCCTCTTCCTTTTCTTTTCCTCCTCATCTGTTCTCTCCTACTACTCNCGAGAAGACCATTGGCGGACCCCCAAACCCAACTTTCAGAAGCCACCCCATGCCAGCTTGAAAGACTTAACCAACAATGTCGGTTCCCCATCGCTTTCTGCTCCAGGTAAAGTAACATGATTTTTTTTTCATATATATATTTATTGTTTTTACATTTTAAACAGTGCAGCATTGCGAAGTTGAAGTGACCATATAGTCACATTATATACAGATAATCTCATCCAATAGCTCTTAGCCTATATTAATACATTATCCATCCTTCTATCCAATCACAATATTTACAGTTTGTTCCAGTCTTGTCACCTTGTCTTATACCAATAATAGAATCTGTTCCAGACTTCAAAATACTCCGATTCCCCTTTATTTTTTATTTCAAGGGTGAGCCTATCTGCTTCTGCATAGGCCACAATTTTTCTAAGTATATCTAACTCTGGTGATTTATTTCCTTTTTTCCAATACTGCGCATAAGTTATACGTGTCACAGTTAGTACATGTATAATTAGATAAAAGCGCATCTTTCTTATACCCCTCTGGTATTATGCCTAGGAGAAAAATTTCTGGTTGGACAAAATTTGATCTCCTACCATTTGTTCCAACATGATTCATTTTCCAGTATGTTTTTGCCTCATTCCATGTCCACATATGATTAAAAGTGTCTGGTGTTTTTTTGCACTTCCAATAATTTGGGGCCACATTTTTAAACATTTTAGAGAGCCGTGCTGGGGGAAGATGCCATCTGCAGAACATCTTATACAGATTTTCTTTCTCTTTTTTTGGCCATTGTTAGTTTTCGATTAAGTATCCAAAGTTTTTCCCATTTAGCCAAATTACATTATAACCAAAAAAATTTGCCCATGTGACCATAGTTTCTTTGACAGTATAATAAAGTTCCCAATCCGGTACGCCAAATCCTCCTTTTTCCTTAGTATCTTGCATAGCTTTGAGTTATTTATTCTTGGTTTTTCCCCCTGCCATATAGCAATAGCAGTTAGACTTACATACCGCTTCATAGGGCTTTCAGCCCTCTCTAAGCGGTTTACAGAGTCNTCCCATCAAAATCCCCCAAAAGACCTTTTCAGGAATCAGGTATAACCCCCCTCGCTCCTACCAAGTGTCAACATTCACCCCGGTGTTGTCTTTTGTTGCTTTGTGTGTTTCACCAATTGTGTGTTGTGTTTTTTTCCCTGCCCCCGCACCCCACGCCCAGCAGCCTGCCAAGAAGAAAAAAGTGGAAACTTCCTATGATATCAACAACATCGTCATTCCGATGTCCATGGCCGCCGCCACCCGGGTGGAAAAACTGCAATATAAAGAGATTTTAACCCCCAGGTGAGTTCCTTTTTTTGAGAATGCTTAAATCTGTTTCCCGACGAATCCGGAATCTGGAATTTTAATTGAAGAATAATTGGAATTTAATTGGGGAAGTTGTTTCATTACTGGGGAGTCCTCGACTTCGCGGCCGCAATTATGGCCCAAACTTTCTGTTGCTGAGAAAGACGGTTGTTAAGGGAGACGCTCGGTTGTGAAGTGGAAGCGTTGCAGGAGTAAGTTTGGCCCCATTTTACGACTCTTCCTGCCATAATCGTTAAGGGAATTGCTGTGATTGCTAAGTGAGTAACATGGTTGTTAAGTGAAGCATTTTTCAATGAGTGTTGCCCCATTTTAGGATCTTCCTTGCCACCGTCTTTAAGGAAATCATTGTGGTTATTGAGTGAGTCACATGGTTGTGAAGTGTTTGTTTTGCCCTATTTTATGACCTTACTTGCCACCATAGTTAAGTGAGTCACTGCAGTTGCTAAGTGAGTAACACAATTAAGTGAAGCATTGGTTGTCAGGTTTGCTCCTTTTTGTGACCTTTCTTGCCACTGTCGTTAAGTGAATCTGCCATTATTAAGTGACCTACACGGTTGTTAAGTGAAGCATTTTTCAATGTGTTTTGCCCCATGGTAGGACCTTACTTGCCACCATCATTAAGTGAAGCGCTGTGGTTGTTAAGTGAGTCTCATGGTTATTAAGTGAACCATTCCTTAAGTGAGTTTTACCCCATTTTACAACTTTTCCTGCTACCATCAGGGAATCACTGCAGTTGTTAAGTGAGTCACGCGGTTAAGAGAACCATTCCTTAAGTGAGTTTTACCCCATTTTAGGGTATCCCTTGCCACCGTTGTTAAGTGAATCCCTGCATTTGTGTGAGTCACACAAATGTTAATTGAAGCATTCCTTAAGTGAGCTTCTCCCCATTTTAGGACCTTTCTTACCACTGTTGTTAAGTGAATCCCTGCGGTTGTTGAGTGAGTCACGGTTTAGGGAAGCAGTCCTTAAGTGAGTTTTGGGCCATTTTGCAACCTCCTTTGCCACCTTTAAGTGAACCCCCGTAGTGCTTAAGTCAGTCACACGGTCATTAAGCGGATCCTGTTTCCCCCTTGACTCTGCTTGTCAGAAGGTCGCCAAAGGGGATCACAGGACCCCGCGACCATCATAAATCCGACTCTCTTGCCAAGCATCTGAATCTTGATCGTGTTCCCCGAGAGTCATTGCAAGCATCGCAACCATGAAAAACGCGTCCCGAGTCCCCCTTTTCCCCCCAAGGCCTGTCATAACTTTGAATGGTCACTAAGTGAAGCCTTGTAAGTCGAGGACTCCGTGCAAATCAGTCAATCGCCTCTGTTTTTCTCCCTTTAGCTGGAGAACGGTGGACCCCAAAGGGTTGGTGATCTTGGAGGAAGCGGAGTCGGAGGTAAGAGAGATGGCGCCCCCAGGTGGCCCACTGTGGTTGTGGCGGGCTGTGTGTTTTTGTGTCTGTGTACACATTGCATGACTGCAGCCACAATCGGGCAAGGGTTACATGGGTGCTGTGAATTCAGGAGTGGAAGAAGGTGTGTGTGTGTGTGTGTGTGTGTGTGTGTGTGTGTGTG